ACACAATTACACAAAATTATGATGTGTATGTTACAGTAATATTTTCTCATACACTAAGTAGTACATGTATCAGAAAAGCCATTTAATCTGTTCGTAATTGAATACCAATAAGATATATTTCAACTTCAAACCCCATTTTCAATGTCAATACTAAGTAGATTTTTTATGGTGCCTATTACTTCTAAACTAGGGTTTTGAATAGTGAAACTAAAAATTAGTACTAAAGGGAGATAATTATAGAGGAAAATTATAGAGATTTATATACACTTACTTAAATAATAAAAACTGTAAAAATAAAGAATTAGGTAAAGGCACTGATAATATTATTAAATTAGCCTTATTTGACAGGCGAAATACAATCGGTGTCATACTTAATTACATATCTAATTTACAACTTTTCCATATGCATTGCAAATTCACATAATTTATCATGTTTATTTTTTTTATTTCAGGTAATATGTAACATCTAACAGAGAGTTTTCAGGTAAGCATTATTTATAAGTGCAAAAGGTCGAGATCCATGAAAATAAATCAGAAACCACACAAGGTGTTATATACTCACTTTTTGAGAGGTCTTAAGTGTATATTTAAACAAATATTCATCTTTTACGTGACGATAACACTAGACAACTGAGATAAGTCTAGGAAAAGGTCAACGCTAATGCGCTTGACAACCAGTATAAGATAGGCGGTTTAGAATTTTTGGTGGTCAGGGCCGGCCTAAATTTATTTGTATTACCTCTGAAATACCCCGGTATTTTTTACTGCGAAGAAAGCTTCCTACAAAAGTTGTATTATCCTTTGAGGTCCTCAAAAATTTATTTTTAGCAAAATGAGTTTCGCATACGTGATATAAAATATAAATTACTTTTTTTAAATTTTTTGTATTTTTGAAATACGTTTTTCTAGCTTCAAAAATATAAATACGCCGTATTCTTTCAGTAGTGTTTTTCTAGATAAGATATTTTAATTCATATTGTGAGGTTGTTAAATTTAAATTAAGTTGCAAATAAAAAGAAAATAATACAAATACGTTAGAATAATTGTTCTACAGACAGGGTGTTTCATTTAAGGCTGTTACGACTTCATAATTTTTCTCTCAAGTAGCCCCATATTGGAGGACGGTAAGTGAATATCTTCTACAGATGCTTCATCTTTTGAAAAAAAGAAAATAATAATAAATTGGACGAAAACTAAACGAATAATAAAGATGATAGAATCTTAAGTGGAACATTCTGGCGCAACACACTTTTTATTTATGCCTTTTAATTTAAAATGAATAATGTAGCTACATGAAATTTTTTTTTAGTAAGGCATGAAAAAATACACTTATTACATATAGAAATCCTTAATGCGATAGTAAATTAATTTTTAAACATAAATTCTTAAGCCCTCAACTATATAACTTTTATAGTAAGTAAACTATTTTCCTTAAGGCATAAACCCGGAAAGCATTTGCTATATTTTTCATGAATTTCAAATATAAGCACATTGAAATATGTTGATTAGGACTTAATTATAACAAACACTAAACTATGTAGAGAGTGACATCGTAGGTAAAAAGCCAAGTAAAACCAAAAATACTTAGGTAAATGCCTATTTGTGACTTAAATTTAGACCAGAAAATAAATCAGTTGATTGTCAAAATTCAACAGTCAAAATTTCTCACCAAAAAAAGTCTGAATCAGTTATTTTGACATTCTTAGTAATTCAAGTATTCATTTTTTTGGTGAGATTTTGTAAAAGTTTGTAATTTTATATTTCAGAAATTTATTACATTTCAAAAAATTATCAGTTCAGTAAGTACACTTACGGTGCTTTCAATGAATACTTCTGTATTTTTGTACGCCGCTATTTACAAATTGCTAAGTTTATTTTTCTATCAAAAGAAAAATAAAATGGTACATATGTCTTTATTGCATTTTACATCAATGGTAGGTAAATATTTTCATTATAATGGAAATATCAAAAAATTGAAATGGGCAGAACAGGAAGTGACATCAGGCTCTAGATATATCTACATGCTTCCATATACATATCTGTATTGCTAAAGTAGCATGAATTTGCCTAACTAATAAGATTTTACTGCATTAATAAATCTGAAACACTGCCGTCATATTTTACTTGCTTAATGAATTAAAAAAGGGTCCGGAAGGCTCGGCTCATGTAGTGGGAGAAATGGAATAAATTACGGATGAGCAAGAGAGGTAACGCAATAAATTCATACTACTTTCGTGCCGAAAATATCGATTTTGAGGAAATGTGTAGCGTTTATAATTAGCAAATGGTATTAGATTCCATGAAAGATAATATGTATTCTTCAGGTAATTAAAAAAAAATAGCAATACAGTGGAACTGAAATAAATTAGACTGATTGCTATTACTTAAATGTACCTATTTTGTAAAAAGAAGGGCTAAATTATTTAAATTTGAAGCATACTATTACTAAGTATATCACTGTTATATTATGTTAACCGTACTATCGCCTACTTAAGGAAGTATTTGCAAATTGTTAAATAGAAATATTCTAATTAATTTACCTATGAAGGATCAGATTGAATGCAGAAAAATACCAGGAGAAAAATACCAGGTGAGTTTTGTTCGAGAATCCTAAGTAGGTACGCCAGTTTAAATGGTATGCTTGTTCCAATTGATAAAATGAATTTTCGGTCAGATTAGGCCACTTCCTATAGAAACCGATAGTCGAAAATAGCCATATGAGAGAATTCCACTTAATATTGAGCATGATGATTTTTTTCATGAAAATTCGTTTTCCGAAGGTGAAAATAAAACTGGCATGTTGCGGTGTAGAATCGAAATTTTATTTGAAAAAAACTGACTTCCAGTTTGATTAGGCTACTTCTGGGCGGAACCGGAAGTTGAAAATATCTCCATACCTATACAGGGTAAGTCATTAATAATGGTACGCAGTTTATTGGCATATTGTTAACGTCAAAATATAGTGATTGAGCCAAACATGCCTTAATCAATTATTGCCCCTTTTCGTTCTACAGGGTGTTAAAGTTGAAAAAATATTTTTTATCCTTATTTCCTTTTTTAAGTAAGTATGGACCGATTGTTCTGAAAATTTGTAGTTTTACTTTTTTTGAGGAGGCAAATACGAATATGCAAACAGTGTTGGTGTCACGTCTAGTTTCTAATTTAATTCCCGTCGAATTTCAAAAACTTAAAATCTCTGTATCTCGAAACCAGTTGAGTTTATCAATTTGTAACAAGTATACCTTTTTTATTTAGAAGTGAGTGTAGTTCTACAATTTCTAGTTAAAAAATTCAAAATTGTAAAATATAAATAGTTAGACATATTTTTACATTGACAGGACAGTACAACTAGCGTCCCCTAGACGTGACCCCAACTCTATTTGCATATTCGTATTTACCACCTCAAAAAATGTAAAATTACAAATTTTCAAAACAATCGGTTCATACATACCTACATAAAATTTAGATAAAAAAAAAGAAAATATTTTTTCAACTTTAACACCATGTAGAACGAAAATGAGCAACAATTGATTAAGGCATGTTTGGCTCAATCGGTATATTTTGACGTTAACAATCTGCCATTAAGCTGTGTACCATTATTAATGACTCACCCTGTATATAGTAAATAAATTTTATTCTGTATCGGTTTGATTCAAGCCAATCAAAATAGAAGTAGCCGTATTCAGCAAGGAATTTGTGACGTAGTGGTTAGACATTGCAGTCAAAGTTAAACCAACCCATTCAATTGACAAAAGTAATAACATCACAATTTATAAACCTAAAAGCTAATTTCTAATTAGCTTACAAATATGCCCAAATAATGTATCAATAGTTTGGCAAAACTTATCTTAGCCCAACTGCAGCATGCGCAGTAGTAAGACCAGGCGATCACCAAATCTGACATCAAGGTACTGACTTGAAGATAGTCTCACATATAGGTCTACATTTCTAACCGTGAGACACCAAACGCTCTGTAGATGTAGACTGGTTAATCTAATTCGTAAAAAATATATAATTTAGTTGTATATTTAGCAAGTGAAATGTTAATTGTATTAGAACACTCGGCTGTCTGTAACTGATAAATGTAGTAAACAATTAAAATCCTATTTCATTAAAATACATTACTTTATAAGTGGCGGAATCATTTTTAAAAATTAAATAAAAGCCATTTTAAGGTCGACAATTTATTAAGGAATCAAATCATTTTAAACCGATTTATTTTGACTCAATAAGCAAATCTTGAAGTGTGTTAGATTATTAGACACTCTGTATAATGTAAAATACGTAAAATACAATAGTTGCTGTCAGTTAAAAATAATAATTTGTGTTTTAGTGTACAGACCTAACGTACCTTAGTACATTAATTTTTAAACGGATTCTACTATTACATTACACTACAATAAATAAACTATGAGTAAAATACATCTATCTTTAATAACGTTTAGGGTATATGAATGTTATAAATTAAGTTCATTTATGTAAATAAAGAACACCCTCAACAAATATACAATTGTGTTTTGCAATCTCATTCGTCCCTAGTACGTCTCTGTCCATCGGGGTCCAACTATGTCATACTCGTTTAGTAGTTCCTCTAATTTTAGAAGTTGAGTTGTTTCGCCACAGATGGCACTACTTTCATTCCTGGGCGTATATTAACCAGGAACCAAAATTATTTTTTGTAAACTGATACCTTATTGGATATGTTAAAAAGTTTAGAATGTTTATGAAAATTCCAATTATAGACATATCCCATTGTTTTGTGAGGTGTTGCTTTTATTAGTAACACACAGTTAGCCGAGTGGGTCGACATAAAGAGCATACGGTTGCGTGTCTTTCTAACAGTGCTGAGGCTGAGGGCAGGCGTGTATCGAACGCCGCGTGCCCAAGTCTGGTCCCCATTGGCCGGAACAGCACCTGCCCGGATTGGCACGATTGTGGAGGGGCGCCATTACACTCTAGTACCGTGGATAAGGCATAGAGGGCTATAGACTGAACATACATGGGTCATAAAGGATTCGAAGAAGTAGAGGAGAAGGACGCGTAAGAAATACTCTGCAATAGGGTTAAACGACGTTGTTGATATTGCTAAAAGTGGCCGGTCGTAAAACGTAAAGCGTGTGCGGTAATAATCACATGGACTATGATAAAAAGTGCGCGACGGTGCAGTGATTGGGACCTTGCACAACAGCAATGAGTTCCAAATTTATCATCGATAGCATGCTGCCTAAGTACCATCAACAATTCCATCATCAACAGCTATTTCAAAGTCCTGCCAGTACATCATCAATTGAAGCCAGTCTAGCTTCCGTCGTAAACTACAGTTCCTCCGGATCCCCAAGTGGTTCTTCTCCTCAACACTCTAACAGCAGCGCATCATCCACCTCTCCCGCCTCAAGAATGTATCCTTATGTATCGGCGGCTACTGCGGCCGCCCATCATCATCACCAGCAGCAAGCCGTGGCAGCAGCAGCCTTCGGAGCGGCAGCTGCTTCGGGAAGTATGGTTCCAGGAGGATTTCCGACGAGCGCAAGCACGGCGGCACTCGCCGCCGCGGCTGCCGTCGATGCCGCCACCGACAAGTCATGCAGATACACCGCTGGTCTTGCTGGTAACGTAGCCCCCACTGATTCTATGGTAAATTACACGTTAGGGCACCACCACCAAAATGGTGCAGCCGTTTCTGCGGCAAGTTCTGTAAGTGCCGCCTCAGCTTCTATGGCGGTGGCGGCACAATTTTATCATCAAGCCGCCAGTGCTGTTGTAGATCCTCTGAATTCCTGTTCGCAACCCACCGCTCCCGGCGGACAACCGATTCCTGATATACCCAGATATCCCTGGATGTCAATCACAGGTAACAAAAATTATACCACTTACTTGAATTCCGCATTTATAATTGCTTAAGCTTTGTGATTTACAGTTTATTATTTACATTAATAATATTTTTATTACTATATACTGTTAGTTTTTTTTATTCAAAATTTATGTCATTATTAACTGTAATTCGAATTAAAAGGCTTGGAAGTATATGGTAGGGAGATAATTATTAACATAGGTGTTGCCAAACACTGTTGAATTATTATTGTTATTGCCCATTATAAAAATAATCAAATATTTAATTATCGTTATTAATGATATTGTTATTGACCAATAACAATAATATCGCAATCGACAGCAATTAATTACATTTATATTTATATTACACTCAAATGGATTTTTGTGAAGCGCCTACGCATGCGCAGATATTTTTGGTTTAAGTAAGTCATGCGACCTAAAATGAATTAAGTCAAATGCTAGATACCCCTACCTTAACTTAACTTATAACTACTTATAGGTATGTCGTTCATATCAATTGATTTTTTTATAAATATTAGGTTGGTATGTAATAAACCACAAAACATATTTAATGATCAAATGTCAATAAACATTTATTAATCGATAATTATTTTCTTGATTAGTGTTATAAATAATAATTGTAAGTATTTTGATAAATTAATAGTCATTTCAATGAAATTTAAAGTAAATTTTCCAACGACCATACTTTTCTAAATTAAGTGCACCGAATTTGGGACACCTAAAAGTAGTTCTCCTAACCCTGTAAGAATTTGAAACAATAAACTATTAATTGTTGTTCAGTAAAGGTAATAAAACTGTTTTATGGTTTAAAAAATTAAGGCACCACGTGTCGCGCGACCGTCGGCAATTCTTGTTCCGTCTACCTAGTTCTACACAATGAATTTTAACATTTCTATCATTCAAAAATACCATAATAAACACGGGTTTAATGGCCATTTAGTAGGCTATAACAGTAAACCTAGTCATAAAAGTTCATTCTTCAATCAAATTCTAAGAGAACATTTGTGAAACCTAAACGGTACTTACTTACTGGCGCATAGGAAAATCGATTTCTTTGATTTTTTACTTTGGTTTGATGAATTTAATTAAGTAGAGTTACCTATTTCAAAAGCATATTTGAAAATATTTAAATTTTATTTTCTGCATATGAATTTCCAATGCCATTGCTGATAAATTTCTTTTATTTTTAGACTGGATGAGTCCTTTTGACCGGGTCGTCTGTGGTGAGTACAATGGTACATATTTTTTTTATTCCTTTTTCTTAGTTTATAGTTTTAGTATTAGTTAACAATTATATAATTATTAAAATAATTAATCGTTTATTTTTTATTTTAATAATTTATTTAATGTACTTCTAATAATTTATCGCAGTATATTTTCAAAATAGTTGCAGCAGATTTCATCTGTTCTTATAAAAATATCAACTGATAAATTATTCACGACTTTAATAACTCACTGTAACAAAATTTATTGATATTTTTTTATGTATATAAAACATTCCACAGTCCAGATTTCGCTATAAATTATTAATAATTTAAACATTAAAAATTAACTTTATTTCATGGATGCTGCCAACTTGAAAACGAAGACGAGCTTACGTACCTACTTATTTTTAAATTAGCATATGAAAAGAAAATGGAATCTAAAATCTCTTTCGCTGTCTATTCTCCATGTGACTTGAATTTGACAGTGACTCAAAGGCGACTATCCTCTTTAAAGCTGTTTTTGTAAGTATATGTGTGCATATTGGACGTGACTGACCTTGTCAAGCCATTTAGATAATTCACAAGTGCATGTAGGTATACACTATATTTTGTTTCACGCGGAATAGAATGAAAAAAAATTGCTGGTTCAATAAAAACTAGACTTACACAGAGCGTTTGCCCTTTTGTAACTCCAGAATAAATCATTCTATTTAGCCAGGACTTCGGCGGACGGAAGTTTAAATATGTGAAATATACAGGGCGTTTCATTTAAAGAAAACCTTAGGCTTGTATTTCTAATTTAATGGTAGGCCACAGAAGATTTATAATATTTGCTATAATTTACTCTCATACTTTTTTAATATTTCGAAATATGAAGGAAAAAATAGGTGACATTTATGACGTAAATTGATTTGGGGTAAATCTTGGGGTAAATTTAAAGATTTTAGTTTATTATAATGAGAAAACCTTAATAACCAAAGATCTTCTGAAGTTGACGATTCCAAAATTTTTTATTAAATTATCTATTCATTAAAAATAATGATTAGTACCTACGTAAAGAGGTACATTACCAAATTGCACCTTTTAATACGTTATATTATCCATAAGATATCGGAAACGAAGTGTTTTTGAACCCATGTTCATATGACCTCTTTTCATATTTTTTCCTTAGAGGAAAAGGTATAGTAGTAAAAATTAAGAATTAACTAACTTCCATAGTCACAATTAGAGATCGATTGTATAACAAATAAAACTTATTTATAATAAGATTAATTATGAACCATAATTATAGGTTAGGTTAGGTTACGACGCCTATTTCAGCAAAATTTAGCCTTGAAAGTTTAGTTTGATTTCTAGTTCTAAATTAGCACAATAAACTAATCAAACTTTCATTTTCCTCCCATTTTTTAAGTTGCTTACGATAAATTTAGGAAAACCATTTCAATTTTAATTACTGTCGGTTACATTTATTTAATGAAATTCCTTTTGAACCTCGGGAGAAGTAAGAGTAAAATCCAGTATTTTATACCCACATGGCTTTCAGTTCAGTGGGTACTAAACGACCAAATTCGGAAATTTGTTTAGCAAGTTTGTCATGGAGGGTACTAGTGGCAAACCTTCATCAGGTAGAATTATCTACATATATACGAAAAACAAGGGCGTAACTAAATTCTCGGAGTCCGTCTAAGTATAGAAAATAAATATTATGGTCATTGTGTAAAGCAGAAACAATATCGTTTTAAAATTTTGAATCATTTTTCATTATAAAAGTTACTTATAATTGTTTGATGTCGTTAAAATGAATCGTTTTAGAGAAAAATCGATTTCAATTTTCTATTGTAGTTATCAGTTAAGTTGTGGACAACCAAGTGCACCATTTAGGTGCATTCAAGAGTAGTTAAATATCTAAGGTCTATCTAATTCATGTTTTTTGCTATTTAGGCTAACTTATTCAAATGTCAGTATCTGGTACGGTAATAATAAGTTTTTCTGTGGAGTTATGCAATTTAATGACACCCATCAAGTATAATAGGTACGTAGCAAATTTTAAGTATGTCATGGCGTTGGTATTATAACATTAATTTTCATAAAAAATGAAAAGAAATTATTTTGTGCGCCACTGCCTTTTGTATTTATTTAAAAGGTGTATCGTTCACGAAATGTTTATGTTAACATCGAGAAAATTTCTCTCGGCTATCAGTAACTTCAAAAGATATGCCGGACCTTAGTTTGGTGTAGACATATGAAGTACTCGCGTCAATTTTATCCTATTATGAATTTATTTCGTAGGATGATATATTTACAGACTGATAAATGCTTAATGTCTCAACTTCTTGGCAAGCAACATTAAATTCAAAAATTCAATTTGGGAAACGTCAACGTGGGGTGAAGTGTATGTGTGCGAGCAAGGCTCGTAACTGAACACGAACTGCTCGCGATAAGTTTTCTGGTGGATATGCGAACACTTCAACTTCAACCGCCTATACCAAACTGAGATCCAGCATCTCATATCACGTCTCATATAACGTATCTCTAAAGTTAGCGACAGCTGATTGGAATTTTGGCGAGCTCGACCTGAACAAAGATAAAGATGCTAATGTTGCACGAGCTCGCAATCTTAACGTAAACATTTTGCAAACGAACTTTTGGGAGATCACAAGTTGTTCGCGCGAATATGATGAAGGTCTGCTTTGTACTTTCCATTGATTTAGAATAAAATAATAATATTTTCCCGAGATATGTCTGAAAAGATTTTTTTTTTCAATTTCAACATTTCGAAAATGAATAATTTTTCGAAAGAACTTTATTTGTATCACTCCCATTCATTTTCATGGTAAAATATATTACTGAACTGGAACATCCTGGATCAGTATAGTCAGAACAGTACACGGTTTTTCTTTGTTGACAAACTAAACTGATAATTTTCATAAATATGTACCTACCTACACCTACTTCAAAATCATTAAGAACATTTATAATTAAATTTAAATTTATATCAAGTAGATAAAAGAAATATATATTTTAAGAACAATGTTTCTCAATAAAAGGAAACATTTTTATCTATTTAAAAGTTTTTATTTTTGCTTGGCCCCTTCATACTCCGAATGTGACTCGATATTGCTTTTCCACAGGCTCGCGGGCATAAAGTAATTCATGTGATTTTTGCTTTATATTTCCGAAATAGCGTTGGGATTCATTATAAAAGTGCGTTTTATACACATACTTGTCTACACTTAAGATTTTGTGGGTTGTAGGTAGACTATTTATTCAGAGATGTTTCTCGCGATGAAAATACTTCTGAAGGACTGGTTATATCTTTACACGAATTGTGATTTGAGCAAACTGTTTTCGGCAGATTACAAGTGTTTATAGATATATAGGTATTTATAAATTATTTTTTGTTGATGAGTTTTTCTATAAATCATGTCTGATGTAAGTGACTCGGGATTATGGGATACTGAATAGGTATGTTGATTTTTATTGTTTTATTATTCAATTTTTGACTTTCTGAGCCACTGAAAACCAAAATTTAAAAAAATGGCTATGAAAAATTTGTCAAAAGTCATTGCTATGAATGAAAACATTTCAATTTTGTAATAAAAAAGAATTTATTTGCTTTACTCAGTGTCAAAATTAATATGTGTACCTATGTGTGAAATCAATTAAGTAAAATTCTCCTCTTTGTAGGCGTAAACTACCTACTTAGACGAAATAACAAATATCACTATTGTTTAAACTTATTAGAACACAGGATTTTACCTATTATGTAGGTAATTTAAGATACTTGTTTTATAATTTTTTACTGGTATTTGAACTGTACTGTGTTTTTATCTCTGACAATTATTATTTGGTACCTACTTTGCTTGAATAATCTATAAACTATAAAATTATATACACCAGTAAATTGAAAATTGCATTCTGAATATTGTTTCCAAAAAATTGTGACTTTTGCGTAAGAAAAAAGCATTATGCACACGCTTATGCACTTTATAAGGAATGAATAAAATTTTGCATTAGTCTGCATTTTCGTTATTTTAATATGTTGATGTTAGCGATGTCACCATTTGCCCTTAAAGTTATTTAAGTAGGTATTTAGTATTTTTTACATAGTTTGGCACATAATACTGCTTCTGGTTCGTCTTAATCTAAATATTCAAGATGGCATGGTAAACAGGAATAAATAAAACAAATAAACAATGGTTACGTAACACGCTCAGCTGAGCTATAACTGGGTTATGTATTTTAAGCTGTGCATGCGGTGTAGCGCAACCTATCGCGTTGGTGAGATAGGCACCTACTAACTTATGTTCAATCATTTAAAATGTAATTATTTTCATTTTTAAAAGATATGCTTTGTTTATTTTTTCCGTCAGATAAAAACGACACATTTAAGTCCCTTGTGGCAAATGAGCATCAGAACATTTACATACACAAAAATTCGTAGTTTTAAATTAGTACAGTATTTTATAATCCACATATTTGTGGATACACAATCTAATATATTGCGAATTGATACTATTTATTCTAATATAAAATATATTTTAAAAATATATAAATTATTTTTAAGTACCTATATCTGTTACTAAAATTGGTCCCGGTGATATACTTTTGTAATCTTTTTCCTTCAGTAATCTCAAAATCAAAATTTATACACATTCTGATTTATATGAATTACTCTAGAACATAATTCTATTATTTAGAGGTAAATAAAATCCTTTAAGCCCTACATTTTAAGTTACAGGATCAATTAATACCTACTATGCAACAATTACTACTACACAAAAACTTAAGTCAGATACCTATACACTGACGTAAAATTCGGCATAGGTATATAAAAATATAAAAAGTATTTTACAATAGTTAAAAAGTGCAGCTGACAATTCAAATTCTATTTCGATAACAATGTACCTAGTTTATGTTATATCTTTTTACACTCACTTGTTTTAGATCAGAAAGTAATTATATTCTCAGATCTGGAAAGAACCATTGCTTACATCAGTTGATGGATAAACATCAATTGAAACATGTGT